TAATTGTTCTAACTGTCAGGAAGTTTCTCCTTAGTTCTAGGTTGCTTCTCTCCTTGATTAGTTTCCATCCGTTGCTTCTTGTCCTGCCTTCAGGCGCTTTGGAAAATAGCTTGACTCCCTCTTCTTTGTGGCAGCCCCTGAGATATTGGAACACTGCTATCATGTCCCCCCTCGTCCTTCTCTTCATTAAACTAGACATTCCCAATTCCAGCAGCCGTTCCTTATATGTTTTAGCCTCCAGTCCCCTAATCATCTTTGTTGCTTTTCTCTGTACTCTTTCTACAGTCTCAACATCTTTTTTACATCGTGGTGACCAAAACTGGATGCAGTATTCCAAGTGTGGCCTTACCAAGGCATTGTAAAGTGGGATTAATACTTCACGTGATCTTGATTCTATCCCTCTGTTAATGCAGCCTAGCACTGTGTTGGCTTTTTTGACAGCTGCAGCACACTGCTTGCTCATATTTAAATGATTGTCCACTAGGACTCCAAAGTCCGTCTCACAGTTACTACTATTGAGCAAGATACCCCCTATACTATACCTGTACATTTGGTTTTTCTTGCCTAAATGTAGAACCTTACTTTTTTCACCATTGAATTTCATTTTGTTAGATAGCGCCCAGTGTTCAAGTCTCACAGAGTTTTTGAGGGCTCCTGCAAAACAGGGCTGCATTTCGGCAAGCTGCAAAACCCCAGCCTTCATTTCACAACCATTGTACATTACGGAACTGAACTGTTAATCCAGATGTGTGGCTTGGCGTTTTGGACGAACCGAGCCACGGCGTTTTGCTGCAAAGAAGGCCCAGGGCAGTCCAAAGCTCACCTGTTCTTCCCAACCCGCCTCGGCGGGTTGCCTTTGCAGGAAATCCTCGGCCAGGGACACCGCCTGGGAGCAGGTCTCCGGACTGTGTTCCCGGACCCAACTTTGCATCTCGGGGGGCAGGATGGCCAGGAACTGCTCCAGGATCAGCAGCTCCAGGATCTGCTCTTTGGAGTGTCTCTCCACCTTCAGCCAACGGTGACAAAGTTTCTGGAGCTGGCAGTAGACGCCCCTCGGACCTTCAGCCTCCTGGTAACAGAACCGTCGGAAGTTCTGCCGCTGGCGCTCCCTGGCAATGGCATCCCCCCTCAAGATGGCCGCCTTGACCTTGTCGTAGTCCACCCGGTCTCTGGTGTCCAGATTGCTGAAGATCTGCTCTGCTTCCCCGCTCAGGGCAGGCAAGAGACGGGCCATCCAGTCTTCTCTGGGCCACTGGCAGGCCTGGGCCACTTGTTCAAAAGACGCCAGGAAGGCCTTGGTGTTGTCCCAGGGGGTGGGCTCGTCCAGCAGCTGGGGCGTCTCCCATTCTGAGTGAGGGTACTCCAGTTTCTTCAGAAAATCCTGCCACTGGGCCTCCCACCGCTGGAGGAGCCCATCTCCGGCTTCCTGGTCTCCGGGCGGCCTTTGCAAGAACTCCCGAATGCTTCCAGCCTGAAGGAGGTGAGAAGCTTCCTCCAAGCCTTCTCCAGATGTGGAGGAACTCGCCGGCTCCTCTTCCTCCATCTTAATCCGCTGATGCATTCCTTGCTCCAGCTCGGCATGAAACCGGAGGCCAAAGCTTGATTGGGTCCCTTCCTTGGCAGCCATTTTGTCCCAAGTCTGTTTGGGCCTCATCCGTGGTCAGCCAGCCCCTTCCCTAGGAGACATCCCAGTCCTCAGCATAGGCTGGATCAAACATCTGGCCTGAGGCTGTCGATCCCTGAACAGGTTCTCATGTAAGGTTGCTTGGTAAGTGGCAGGCACACTCACGGCTTCCCTAGTTACGCCACTAACTCTAGTTTAGAGGGAGATAGGCCGTCTCTGCAGAGGAGCTGGGAAAAAACAACAAAGGAAGGAACCAGGGACGAATGAAAAAAAAGGAACCACGATATTAAACAAGCTTTTACAGAACACCCAATTCCATTTTGCACACAGATAAAACCTTACAGATAGCCCTCGACTTACAATCGTTCATTTAGTGGCGATTTCTGAAACAGCACTGAAAAAAGTGGCTTATGACCATTTTTTTTACACTTACAACCATTGCAGCATCTCCATCCAAATTCAGACGCTTGGCAACTGACTCCTATTTATGACGGCTGCAGTGTCCCGGAGTCACGTGATCCCCCTTTTGCCACCTTCTGACAAGCAAAGTCCACGGGGAAGCCCAGATTCACTTAACAACTGCGTTGTTAACAACTGCAGTGATTCACCTAACAAGGTCGTAAAATGGGGCAAAACCCAACAAAATGTCTCACTTAACAACAGAAATTCCGGGCTCCGTTGTGGGTCATAAGTCAAGGACTACCTGCCATCGCTCTGGAAAAAATAAAATAAAACTTTGGGGTTTGAACCCAGGAAGATTGTATAAATCTGGAAACCCTAAAAGAATAAATGCATTTGCATGCTCTTTCAGTAAATAATATTAACCATCTACTCGCCACATCATGAGCAAGTATTGACTGCATTCTGGCTTTGCTGGAGAAAATCTGATAGGCTTTAAAAAATTGCTTGAATGTGTATAGACACGTAGAGAAAGCAGGAAAACCACAATTGGAGAATCCTTTAATGCAGGGGTGTCAAACTCAATTTCATTGAGGGCCGCATCAGCATTGCGGTTGCCCTTGGGGTGTGTGTGGCCAGGGTGGGTGCGGCCTATTGGGTGGGCGTGGATAGAGTGGGTGTGGCCTACTGGGTGGG